TGCGGCTGGCCGAGCCCTTGCCTTGGGTCGTCCGCTAGACTGGCGGCGTCACGTGCGTCACCCCCACGCCCTCCCTCACCCCGCTCGGCCCCTCGCCAGTGCGTCTAACCTGAACTTAATTTCCAAAGATGCGGAATCAGCGCAGGCAGTCTGCAAGCATGGCGGCCCCAGCTCGTGCCGGGCAGGGAGCCCCCCCACACGGCCCCCAGGGAAGCAGCGGCACCCCGACGGTGGCCCGCGGGGCTCCGGCACTCACCGCCGAGTCCGCTCCAGGTGTACACGCCCACGGGCCCCAGGAACGTCTGGTAGGGGTTGCTGACGCTGTTGTAGAGGGTGAAGCTGGAGCTCAGCAGCGACGCGGCCAGGCTGACGGCCAGGCCCAGGACGGCCAGCAGGAGCAGCACTTTGGAGGTGGACATCTTCAGCTTCGGTAGGACTGAAACAGCGCGTGAGTGCGGCCAGCCAGAGCCCGCCTGGGCACAGCCCCTGCTCGTCCCCCCACCCCACCCCCCACCCCGCCAGGCCGGAAACTGCCTGCGCACCTCTCGCCCTCAGCCCGGCCCCACTCCTGCCTGGTGTGGCTGTGGTGACGGGCAGAGCCGCTCCCGTCCAGCCCACTGGGAAGCAGCCTCCGGGTCAGCTGCGGCGGGGCGGGGCCGCCTGAGCGCACCCTGGCCCCGGGCACTGGCCAGAGGGCGCATCCCGGGTCCCCTGGGCCCGCTTTGTTGCGAAACCAACTCTGCTCCCTCGGGGATGCCACGTGTCAGCACCACAGGTCCGGGGCCCTCGCCCGAGGGAGGCCAGAGCAAGGGGGCTGCCGTTGAGCGGGGAGCGGGGACCCCGCGGCGGGCCGGATGAGCGGCCACAGGGCAGGCTGCACGAGGCCTGGGAGCCGGGGGCTTGAGGGCCCGCAGGGGTGCAGAGCGGAGGCTGCCCCAGTGCCTGACACCCCAGTGCCCGGGCCTTCTGGTAGAAGACGATGATGACCACCGCGCCCACGTCCAGGCCCATGATGAGCAGCAGGAGCCAGAAGGGCGCCCCGTAGCTGTGCGT